TTCAGTGCTAGGACCACAGATATTGGACCTCACTCCTGGCACAGACACCTGGATCTGGCATCTCTTTGCCTCTAACTTCTGTCCTCTCCCTTCCTTCTCCATCAGTAAATACATATTTACCCTGTGGGTGTACCTGTCACTCAATGACCTATCACTCCTGTGGGTAAGACTCAGTGTTACAAGCAACACCTGTGAATGAGTGATGGCACGATGCTTCACAATCGGTGTAGCACAGGCTGACCTCAGACTCTCAGAAGCTTTCCTGCATGGCTTCTCCAGTGCTGAGACTACTGGCATGCCCACCAGGCGTTGCCCATGCATACTGTGTGTGAGCATTCTAGCTTTTGAATCTTCTCCCCAAATTTCAGAGCTGTGAGTTATAAACTAACAGGAAATAGCACTTGGAAGCCTGGGAAGCTGGCTACGGTGTTGATTGTGAACTTTTAGCTTAGGCTAGTTTATCTTTGCTGGTTTTGGTGTTTTGTTTTGGTTTGGTTTTTCTAGGGGGTTTATGATTGGTTGTTTGAAGACACTCTGACCACATACACTACTTATGTAGCCATGGATGTCCTTACACCTCCTGATTCTTCTGCCATTGTGCACAAGTGTGTGCCACCACACCAAGATATCATTTCTATGTATGTTTTTTCCATCCTGTTTGAAGAAGTGAAGAGGAGGAAATGGTTAATACACTCTCTAACACTTACACCTCTGTGTTTGACAGAGCCTCCAGAAGGCTACACGTGAATACTGCAGAAAGATGTTTACCTACACATATTGCATGGATAATCACCTCATAGCCTTTCCCTAGATGGCCAAGGGGGATAAGAATTCCCATGTTCCCTTTTCCAAAGATGCTTTAAGAGGATTTACCTGATGGGAAATGTCCTTCTGTAAGCTGTGAATACATGTTTCTCTTATTGGTTGATGAATAAAGCTGTTTCAGACAACAGACAGGCAGGTTGTAGCCAGATAAGAAGTGTAGGCAGGTTTACCAGACTAGGAGAATTCTGAGAAGAAGAAAGCAGAGAGTGAGTCACTAGTGAGACACCATGTAGCAGTCAAGGGAGCAAGAGGTCTGGGCATCACCGGTAAGCCAAGACCATGTGAAGATACACAGATTAATAGGAATGGGTTAAGAATTAAGAGAGAGCTAGCCAATAAGACGACTTTGCCATCAGCCAAACAGTTTATAATTAATGTAAGCCTCATTGTGTTTATTTGGGACTAAACAGCTGTGGGACAGGGCAGAACAGAAACTTTCATCCACAAAAAAGGACATGTCAAATGGTTGGACTGGTTATTTTAGTTATCATGGAAATTATTGCACTGAAGCCTGCTGCAGCAACAGCTGGAGTGGAGCTTCATAAAGAAATTCAAACTGATGGGTTTGTTAGAGACTGGCATAAACATTCAAAAGAACTTTGGTGATGGGAGAAGTCTTCTGTACATATGTTTCTCTTATTGGTTGGTGAATAAAACACTGTTGGCCAATAGGGAAGCAAGATAGGCAGGAATAGGAGACAGAGGATTCTGGGAAATGTAGTAAGACGTAGCCATGCAATTCCAGGAGGAGAGGACACATGAGTCTGGTGTTCTTGGTAAGATAAGACCTTGTAGAAATACATACATTAGTAGTTATGGGTTAATACTTAAGACAGAGCTAGCCAATAAGAAATCCTAGTCACCAGTCAACAGACTATAATTAATATAGTGTCTCGTGTGTTATTTGGGGGCTGAAGCAATGATGGGACCCAGGCCGGAATCCTGTAACACTTTGGACTGAACAGAATAAAATTGATAATGAGATAATGAATGAGTTAGTTGAGTTAAGACAAGCTGCTATATTATTAGGTAATCAGAAATTTTGAAGGAGCAGATAAAATTAAAATGTATTTGGAATGTCTCTTCTTATTGTATCACATCCCTAAAATTTCATTAAAACAAGTATGATTGGGATACTTGTAGGGTCACCCTAATCCTTCTCAAATGGTTTGTGGCTTAAATCAAAGAAACTTGTAAAAAGAGTTGCCTGATATGACAGGAATGGTTATTATGGAAAGTCTTGCTGATACCATAGCATTGTTTAACCATATAATTATTTTAATAGATTTCTTATTCTCAGTCTTCCCATTGTGAGATTCCCAGGGAAATTAGAATTTCATGGACTCCACTGTTGTAGCTAGTTGTTGGCCAACTAAAGAGCTATAAGTGTCTCTTTAGAACATGCTTATTCCTGCCTTGCAGGCATGTTACAGGGATGTCAATGTGGGGACTATAGTGATTTAGGTTCCCAATTTGGGAACACAAATTGGGTGGGGGCTTCAGGGTATTGTCACTGACAGGTACATGTAGTTGCCAAAAACAGAAAGAGTGGAAGACTTGAGGTGGCTTACCCACAACTGCTGAGTGGATACAGACTGCTCAGTAGGAGCCAACTTGTCCTCAGGTGCACCCTAAGCATTGCTCTCTGAGCATTTGATCTTTTGACTCTTACACCCAAAGCTCCCTCCCTAACAATTCCTCCATACTCCACAGGTCTTTGTAAACACCTGAGTGCCCCACCCTCAGAGTGACTGCTGGTAAAGTCTCAGGATCTCCTGACAGCCTGGATGTCATCTGAAGACACCACAATTCAGGACTTCTAAGTTACGGTTTTGCAGGCATCAGGAAAGCAGACTATGGCTCCCTTCAGACAAGTCAGTCTTCATGCCTGCAAGCTCCTTTTCTCTCCTCATAGGAGACCTGACCTCCAGTGGCAGTACACCTGACATGCGTCCTCATGGGTTCCCATTGCTGCCTAGTCACCACATTGAAGATAATCTCAGTCTTGTGGCTTTGGTCAAGCAGTCAGCCACTATTTTTGAGACAGGGTTTCTCTGTGTATGTTTGGAGCCTGTCCTGGCACTTGTTCTATAGACCAGGTTGGTCTTGACTGCCTCTGCCTCCCGAGTGCTGGGATTAAAAGCGTGTGCCACCAATGACCCGTCAGTCACTTTTTAAAGATTTGCATTGTCAGTTTCACTCCTGATCATTTTTGCACTCTTCCCTCATTTTATGGGGACTTAGGCTCAGAAACTTATTTAAGCAAGACATCGAAGTTGGTTAATGATGCTACCAACCTTGTACTTTTTGGGGATTATCAGGACTGAAGTAAAGATGAACTCAGGATCATCCATTCATACCTTACTGCTGTAATGTAAGGTTCATGTGGCTGAAGAGACGAATCAACACCTATAAGCATCCACATGGGCTGACTTTGATTCCCAGAGCCCAACAGACAGCTCAAAACTGTAACTACAGGCATAGGGGATCAAATGATCTCTTGTAACCTTCACTGGTGCCTGGCATGCAACTGATATTTAAACTGGCAAAACTTAAAACACCTAAGTTACATTTCATTCTTTTTGAAAATAGGATATACATGAAGAAAGCATTTTTTAAAATATGGAATAATATATATACATGTACATATATATATCGTATATATATGTATATATATATATCTTTTCACCATTTGTATATCTGGTGTCCTAGGATGTCAGAAAAATGCATCAGTTCTCCTGGACCTGGAAATACAAGTAGTTCTGAGTCATCTGATGTAGGTGCTAGGAACCAAACTTGGGTACCTAAGAGGAATCAGTACTATTGAGCAAACTATCCAGCTTCCAAATATGTCATTATAATGCCAAAGATGAAAATGCCCCATTATTTCTTCTGTCTCTTATCACTTGAAGGTGATGAAAGTCCCCACTAGAAGGTTGGCAAAGGATTCAAGGCCTACTGTACCTTTGTGAATAGACTATCCACATTGCTTCATATTTTGTTTGTTAACACAGTTCTCTTAATGTGAGTAAAGATAACAAAAGGCTTGGTTGAAACCAGTCAGATTCCAGTCAGATCAGGATAAATTTCATACTATGAGATTATTTTTTCTTTTGGGGATTTTTTTGGAGATAGGATATCTCTACATATCCATAACTGTCCACTCTATCCCAAATGCTGGGATTATAGGCATGTGACTCTAAGACGAGATGAGACTTGTTTTTAAAATGACCCTATCCTTGAATGAGAGAATTAATGACAAAATACGATTTAAAGCGGAACCATCAATGTTTTGATGAACAGTAATACTTCTTGAAATTCTATACTAATAATTTAAACTGGAAAATCATTTTATATTTCTCAGTAATTAAGTTATCTTCTTTGCTTTCTTAATTTCATCAATTTAAAAATTGTGTCTATACACCTTTGCCATGATGTGTAGGTGACATTGAGAGGGCAACTTACAGGTTTCTTTTATTTTATTATCCTATGTGAGATCTAGATATGAAAGCCAGGAAATCATTTAGTTGCTAGTGACCTCAATGGCATTTATTTGGTTTTTTTATGTATGTGTTGGTGTGTGAGGGTGCATATGACACAAGTATAGAAATAAGAGAAAGTATGTAGGAGTAATATAGGTCTTCTAGAGATAAAACTCAGGATCTCAGGCTTAGCAGCAACCACCTCTACTCACAGAAACTTATTCTCTGGCTTTCACTTGTGGTTATGAACAGTGTTTGGTCGTCATAATAAATTAACACATTCCACACACAACAAAGGAATAACAAAAGAGATACCAGTAGATACTTTTCATTTGCTAATAGGATTTATTATTTAATTTCTCCTGTTTTTCCATCACCTTTCAATTAAAACATGTTTACAATCTGAAAAGGAAATACTTTACTGATTTAATGTTTCAACTAATCTTATTTGAGCATCAGTGAGAAACTCTGTTGGAAATGTCTGTGTTGTGCAAGGCTGTTATCTCATCTTAATCACCATATGAAAATGGACAAAAATAGACCCTATAAAGTTTTCTTCTGGTCTCCACATATTTGTCATGGCCTAAAAACCCATAGCCACATTACAAACACAAACCAGAAAAAAAAATCTCATTGCAATTACATTATCTGGCATTTCTGTATATCCACTTAGAAGGCAATACTTCAAAATGATGTGCCAAATGGATAACTGATGAAGACATGTAGATACATGGAACCTCAAATTATATATATATCCATAGCACCTCAAGGTCTATTGTAAAATATGTAGTTGATTGCTGATTATCCTACTTTAATATGTCTCTTTCAGATAGATGAAAATGTTTCTTAGAATATGTATGAGGCATTTAATGTTTTTTATATTCTCTAATAAGTACTTTAAAATTAGCATTGTTAAAATATTTTGACAAAACAGGAAACATTGGATGTATACCATTTACCCTTAGACTTATACTTAGGAGAATAACACATGAAGATCATGAATTCATATGTATCCCTGACTAATTACTGACATCCAAGCCAGCCTAGATAACAAACAACATTTCAAAGGAACTTGTGAAAAATAAAACCAGGAAGAAAACCCCACCACTCTTTCACAGACACCCTAACTTGAAAAGTATGATCACACACTGCCTGGTATTTAAATAAAAATGGACCACTTAGAAGATAGCTATCCTATTCTATACCTGGCAGCAGAAAAATATCTCTCACTAAGTGAAAGCACAATAGAAGATGATTAAAGCCATAGAAGGAATAGGACCACAAAATAAACTTCACTAAATGGATTTGCCACATATAGCACAGTTTAATATCTACCTCAAATGTTGCAAAATAGAAGACACAATGTGATCATAACATCAGTCTTTAATGAACTTGGTTAATGATTTACTTCTAGGCTGTAACAAAAAAGAGATGAAACACATTTTTCTTGAAACTGAAGACAATTGTGATGTCTAATTTTTTTACCAGACTGTTTACATGAATAGGGTTTTACTCTTGTATGAGTTCCTCCCTATTTAATGATATCACGATCATAGATCATATAAAAAGCTTAAAAATATTTATAGGGCTAGAGACATGGCTGAACCCTTAATACAAGTTCATTCCCAGAACCAGGGTCAGGTTTTTGACAACTTCCAGTAATCCTGCTAAAAGCCCCAAGGGTCTAAACTTCTTGGGAACAAGAAAGTATATACCCATACAAAGACACACTGACATGGCATAATTAAACTTAAAACAAATCTTTAAACCAATTTTCAATTGTGAATGTTTTTCTCTTGTAATTCCTGTAACACAGGTGTTGAGGCATCTAAAGGCTTGTAGAGTTTTTCTCCATCATGAATTGGTTCATGTAAAATAAAGCAAGCATGTACACTTGAAGTCATAGAAATCAATCATTCTCAAACTGTGGTGTCACTTGGAAAGATTCAGGAAATGCAGCCATGCTGCAAGAAATATGTCTCTGGAAGTTGGCCTGAGAGTTTACATCTGCTCACTATTTTCAGCTTCATGTTACAGGTTAAGGATGTAAATTCTTACTTTCCTACTTTAGCTGCATGTCTGACACTTGTTTCCATGACACTTTCACAGTGATCCTGTAACCCTTTGGAACTAAGGGCCAAATTAAAGCCCTTTGTAGGTTCACTTAGACGTGATGTTTAACTACAGCAACAGAAAAGGCACTAATATGCATCCATGAAGTTTTACACCTGGATTCATTACCTCATGTAATTGCAGAAAACTATGAGATCCAAAAGGGTTACCATGTTATTTAAATTTAGGCCTTTTGTCCATGTGAGTTGCAGGTGTAAACAAAATAGAGAGGGACATCATAATGCTTGAACACTGTTGGCATTATTTATTCCAGAATAAATAATCTTGTCTAACTGAATGTAAGCATGTTGGCTAAAGATCTCACCAAATCATTTATTTCAGATTCCCTTTGGTATGAGTTTTTTCAGATACTCAAAGTCTAATGTCATATTCAGAAGCTTTAATAAACCTATTACACACAAAATGTTTTGCTCTTGTACAAAGACTACCAGGACTTGCAAAACATCGCTACAGTGACTACATTTAGATTGCTTCACCACAGTATGATTTTTTTTATATTTTTGAAGGTTTCTGACACAAAGGGTATATCACAATGATTACATATGTAGGGTTTCTCTCCAGTATGTGTTCTTTTATGTTTTTTAAGACTACTGAGTTGTGAAAAGGCTTTACCACAGTGATTACATTCATAGGGTTTCTCTCTAGTATGGGTTCTTTTATGTATTTGGAGACTACTTTGACATGCAAATGCCTTGCCACATTGATTACATTCGTAGGGTTTCTCTCCAGTATGTGTTCTTTTATGTATTTGGAGACTACATTGGCGTGCAAAGGCTTTACCACATTGATTACATTCATAGGGTTTCTCTCCAGTATGTGTTCTTTCATGCCTTCGATAATGACACTGATGTGCAAAGGCTTTACCACATTGATTACATTCATAGGGTTTCTCTCCAGTATGTATTCTTTCATGACTTCGATAATGACTCTGATGTGCAAAAGCCTTGCCACATTGATTACATTCATAGGGTTTCTCTCCAGTATGTGTTCTTTTATGTATTTGGAGATTACATTGGCGTGCAAAGGCTTTACCACATTGATTACATTCATAGGGTTTCTCTCCAGTATGTGTTCTTTTATGTATTTGGAGACTACATTGGCGTGCAAAGGCTTTACCACATTGATTACACTCATAGGGTTTCTCTCCAGTATGTGTTCTTTCATGCACTTGAAGATAACTACTGACATGCAAAGGCTTTACCACATTGATTACATTCATAGGATTTCTCTCCAGTATGTATTCTTTCATGACTTCGATAATGACTCTGATGTGCAAAAGCCTTGCCACATTGATTACATTCATAGGGTTTCTCTCCAGTATGTGTTCTTTTATGTATTCGGAGACTGCTTTGACATACAAAAGCTTTACCACATTGATTACATTCATAGGGTTTCTCTCCAGTATGTATTCTTTCATGACTTCGATAATGACTCTGATGTGCAAAAGCCTTGCCACATTGATTACATTCATAGGGTTTCTCTCCAGTATGTGTTCTTTTATGTATTTGGAGATTACTTTGAGATGCAAAGGCTTTACCACATTGATTACATTCATAGGGTTTCTCTCCAGTATGTGTTCTTTCATGCCTTTGGAGACTGCTTTGACATACAAAAGCTTTACCACATTGATTACATTCATAGGGTTTCTCTCCAGTATGTGTTCTTTTATGTATTTGGAGACTACCTTGAGATGCCAAGGCTTTACCACATTGATTACATTCATAGGATTTCTCCCCAGTATGTGTCCTTTTATGCATTTGAATATGACTATTACATGTAAAAGCTTTATCACATTGAATACATTCATAAGTTTTCTCTCCAGTATGTGTTCTTTTATGCATTTGAAGATGACTATGAAATGCAAAAGCTTTAATGCACTGATTACATTCATAGGGCTTCTCTCCAGTACATGCTCCTTTATGTATTCGCAGACTACTATGACATGCAAACGCTTCACCATATTGAATACCTTCATAGGATTTCTCTCCAGCATGAAATCTTTCATGACTTTGAAGACGGCTCTGATATGCAAAGGCTTTCACACCTTGAGTATATTCACAAGGGTTCTCTCCAGTATGACTTCTTTCGTGCCTGCAAGGATAATTGACACATGAAAAAGCTTTACCACATTCCTATCACTGTTGAATATATCTGTATGAATTAATTTTATAATTTGGTCCAATTATAAAGAGAAATCAGATCTTGGTTTTATCACTTTGTTTACACTCATTCTCTCTCATTAAGGATTGTTTTACATATTTGAAGAAGCCTGTGATGGTAGGAGCCTATCTTATCTGTCTCACATTTATGGCATCCAATTTCTCTATGAGAAATGCCACCAACTTCTTCCATTGATAAATTTCCCTATAATGTGAGTTATACTATATTTGCAAAGTGAACCAAGTCAAACAGAAGTATTTACACATTCCCAGTACTTATAGGTCTTTTCCAGCAGTGTAAGTTTGTTGATGTATTCCCAATGAAGCTGGAACACCTGTAATCTTGAATCACATTCAACAAGTCTACTCAGCATGGGGATTACTACATATCTTCTAATTGTTCTGAGATGAAGAGAGATACATTGCTTCTTTCCATATCCCTAAGCTTATATGGCTTGTATCCAGAGTGACATACGATATACCTATTAAAGGAAGAATAACAAAAAAAGGTTTCCACATTGCATTCACGCAGTTTGACTTTCTGTTCTTCACAGACTTACGGTATAGGAATTAAAAGTTTCTCCACAACAACTGCCCCCCCCCAATTCTTGACTCAAACTAACTACCTCACTAAACTTACCAAGGACAGAACAATTATATGAGTAACACTAGCTTTACTGTGAATTATTTGCTTACTAGAAGGTTTTAGACATATACTTATCTATTCAACATATATACCTTTTGTAAAATGAGAGGTATGAAACTAAATGGATTGTCAGTTCTACAACATAGCTTTGAGGGAGCAATGATTCAAATGGTGATATCTGTTAAGGCATTGATTCCTTCCTTCTTAAAAGAATGACTTCCAAATGCAATTAACTTACCTGCTATTGAGGTATATGGTTTTGAGAGAATTTATGATCATCAATGACTTTTGAGATGTGCTTATTTACACTGCTACTTAAAAAAATCAACTTCCAGATACATTAAAATATCTTCAGAGGCACATTTGTATCAGCATCCACAGGAAAATTACCTTCCATGTCTTCGAGAACTTTGACAACGTTCTTCAATATTATGGTTTTCCCATCTGTAGCCTAAAAATATAGTACCAGGAAATGTATGATATATTATTGGAAATTATAAAAAAATTAAGTTACTATCTTCAGTGAACCTTAGAACCATCCCTGATTTACTCACCTCTTCTGAATCAAAATTACAAAAGAGCATCAATAACCAATCCCCCTATTTTAAAACATGAAGAAAAATTCACAGCATTACCTATAGCAGTGAGGTTCATATAGGTCTCCAGCATCATATCTTTGTAGAGATTCTTCTGGGAAGGATCCAGCAAAGCCCACTCTTCCCGAGTGAAGTCAACATGCACATCATTATAGGTCACTGCATCCTAAAATATGCCATACATGTATACAATAAAAAGCATGATACTGACAACACTGTAAATGTATACTTCTTTGACAATATAGTCATATGATTCTGGTGCTTCCCACACTTATTCTATGACACAGACATTTTCATATAATCATCAAGTCACTTTAGAAGGAAAATGAATAGGAGGTTCTATGATACATACATTACCATATAATCATCAAGTCACTTTAGAAGGAAACTGAACAGGAGGTTTATCTCTATCATATCTGAACACTTGGAATGGGATATCACCTTGCAAGATAAATGTCTATTAACAGACATAGAGAAATATGAGGAAGCTGGTGTACTGGCTCATATCTTTAATTCCAGCACTCAGCAGGCAGAGGCAGGTATATCTGCCTCTGTGAATGCAAGCCTAGTATATGTAATCAGTTCCAGGACAGCAAGAAGGAAATATTAAGAAACCCTGAAACAATCAATCAACCAAACAAAAAAGATAGGAAGAACTCAAAGGTTTTCTACTTAAGTTCCTACAAAGAGTTATGCACTCATTTACGCAAAGACACAACTAAGAAAGAGAACTACAGAACAATATCCTTCATGAACACTGATGCAAAAATACTCAATAAAATACTGGTAAATTGAATCCAAGAGCACATCAGAAAAATCATCCACCATGATCAAGTAGGCTTCATCCCAGGGATGCAGGGATGGTTCAACATACAAAAATTCACCATATGAACAAACTGAAAAAGAAAAATCACATGATCATCTCACTAGGTGCTGAAAAAGCCTTTGTCAAAATCCAACATAAAGGTCTTGGAGAGAGCAGGGATAACAGGAACATACCTAAAAATAATAAAAGCAACATACAGCAAATCAACAGCCAATATCAAACTAAATGGAGAGACACTCAATGTGATTCCACTAAAATCAGGAACAAGACAAGGCTGTCCGCTCTCTCCATATATCCTCAATATTGTACCTGAAGTTCTAGTTAGAGCAGTAAGACAACAAAAGGAGATCAAGGGGAAAAGAAGAAGTCAAACTTTCACTATTTGCAGATGATATGATAGTTTACATAAGTGACCTGAAAAATTCTACCAGGGAACTCCTATAGCTGATAAACACCTTTAGCAAAGTGGCAGGATACAAGATTAACTCCAAAAAAATTCAGTAGCCCTACTATATACAGATGATAAATGGGTTGAAAATGAAATCAGAGAAACATCACCCTTTACAGTTGCCACAAACAACATAAAATAACTTGGGGTAGTGCTAACCAAACAAGTGAAAGACCTGTATAGCAAGAACTTTGAGTCTTTAAAGAAAGAAATTAAAGAAGATACCAGAAAATTGAAAGATCTCCCATGCTCTAGGATAGGTAGGATCAACATAGTAAAAATGGCAATCTTGCCAAAAGCAATCTACAGATTCAATGCAATCCCCATCAAAATCCCAGCACAATTCTTCACAGACCTTGAAAAAACAATACTCAACTTTGTATGGAAAAACAAAAGACCCAGTATAGCCAAAGCAATCCTATACAATAAAGGAACTTCTGGAGGCATCACCATCCCTGACTTCAATCTCTATTATAGAGATATAGTCCTGAAAACAGCTTGGTATTGGCACAAAAAGAGACAGGTAGACCAATGGAATCGAATGGAAAACCCTGTTATGGACCCACACACCTACGGACACCTGATTTCTGACAAAGAAGCTAAAATTATATAATGGAAAAAAGAAAGCATCTTCAACAAATGGTGCTGGAGTAACTGGATGCTGGCATGTAGAAGACTACAGATAGATCCATGTCTATTGCCATGCACAAAACTTAAGTCCAGCTGGGTGGTGGTGGCGCATGCCTTTAATCCCGGCACTTGGGAGGCAGTGGCAGGTGAATCTCTGTGAGTTCGAGACCAGTCTGATCTACAAGAGCTAGTTCCAGGACAGCCTCCAAAGCCACAGAGAAACCCTGTCTCAAAAAACAAAAACAACAACAAAAAAACCACTTAAGTCCAAATGGATCAAAGACCTCAATAAAAATCCAGCCACACTGAACCTCTTAGAAGAGAAAGTAGGAGGTACCCTTGAACAAATTGGTACATGATTCTCTTAGAAGAGAAAGTAGGAAGTACCACCTTTGAATGAATTGGTACAGGAGACTGCTTCCTGAACATAACTCCAGTAACACAGACACTGAGATCAACAATTAATAAATGGGACTCCCGAAACTGAGAAGCTTCTGTACAGCAAAGGATACAGTCAACAAGACAAAAAGGCAGCCCGCAGAATGGGAAAAGATATTCACCAATGCCACATCTGATAGAGGGCTGATTTCCAAACTATACAAAGAACTCAAGAAACTAGTCACCAAAATACCAAATAATTCAATTAAAAAGTGGGGTACAGAACTAAGTAGAGAATTCTCAATAGAGGAATCTAAAATGGCTGAAAGACACTTAAGAAAGCACTCAACATTCTTAGCCATCAGGGAAATGCAAATCAAAATAACTCTGAGACACCATCTTGCTCCTATCAGAATGTTTAAAATAAAAAGCCCCAATGACAGTTTATGCTGGAGAGGATGAGGAGAAAGGGAACACTCCTCCACTGCTGGTGGGAGTGCCTATTCATATATCACTTTGGAAATCAGTATGGAGATTCCTCGAGAAAATGGGAATCAGTCTACAACATGACCCAGCAACTGCATTCTTAGGCATATACCCAAAAGATGCACATTCATACAACAAGGACATCTGTTCCACTATGTTCACAGCAGCATTATTTGTAATAGCCAGAACCTGGAAGTAACCTAGATGCCCCTCAACTGAAGAATGGATAAAGAAAATGTGGTACATTTACACAATGGAGTACTACTCAGGGGAAAAAAGCAATGGAATCTTGAAATTTGCAGGCAATGATAGCACTAGAAGAAACCATCCTGAGTAAGGTAACCCAATCACAAAAAGACAAACATGGTATGTACTTACTCATATATAGATTTTAGACATAGAGCAAAGGATTACCAGCCTACAATCCACACCACCAGAGAAGCTAGGAAACAAGGAGGACCCTAAGGGAGATGTATATGGTACCCTAAGAAGGGGAAAGGAATAAAATCTCCTGAGATCATTGGGAGCAAAGGGAGAGGGGAGAGAGGGTTAGGAGAAAGAGAAGGGGAGAGGAGAAGGGGAGAGGAGGACATGAGGGAGCAGGAAGATTGAGTCGGGGAAAGAATAGAGGAGAGCAAAAGAGATACCATAATAGAGTGAGCCATTATAGGTTTAAAGAGAAATCTGGCACTAGGAAAATGTCCAGAGAACTACAAGGATGACCCTACTAACAATCTAAGCAATAGTGGAGAGACTACTTTAAATGCCCTTCCCCTATAATGAGATTGATGACTACCTTATATGCCATCCTAGAGCCTTCATTCAGTAGCTGATGGAAGGAGAAGCAGACATCCACAGCCAAATACTGAACCAAACTCCTGGAATCCAGTTGCAGAGAGAGAGGAATGATGAGCAAAGGGGTCAAGACCAGGCTGGAGAAACCCACAGAAACAGCTGACTTGAAAAAGAGGGAGCTCATGGGCCCCAGACTGAGAGCTGGGAAACCAGCATAGGACTGACTAATCCAGTTAGAAGGCCTGGGCAATCTATGGGGCCTCTGGTAGTGGATCAATATCTATCCCTAGTATATGAATGGACTTTGGGAGCCCATTCCACATAGCGTGATACTCTCTCAGTCTAGACACTCGAGGGAGGGCCTAGGCCCTGCTCTAAATGATATGACAGACTTTGCAGATCCCCAGGGAAGGCCTCACCTGCCCTGGAGAGCAGAAAAGGGATGGGGTTGGGAAGCCGGTGGGATGCAGGGGAGGAGGAGAGGGAGAGGGAACTGGGATTTATATGTAAAACAACCTTGTTTCTAATTTAAATAAAACAAATCACCATAAAAATTTCAACAGCTGATAAACACTTTCAGCAAAGTGGCTGGATACAAAAGTAACAACAAAAACAGTAGCCCTCCTATATAAAAATGATAAATAGACTGAGAAAGAAATAAGAGAAACAATGTTCTTCACAGTATCCTCAAATAATAAAAAATGTGTTCAAATAACTCTAACAAAGCAAGTGAAATACTTATGTGATAAAAAACTTCAAGTATTTGAAGAAAGAAATTGAAGAAAATATCAGGAGATGGAAAGATCTCCAATGTTCATGGATCAGTAGGATTAATACAGTGAAAAGGCCATCCTACCAACAGCAATCTGAAGATTCAGCACAACCCCATCAGAATTCCAATACAGTTCTTTAAAGACCTTGAAAGGAAAGGACCTGAACAATAAAAGAACTTCCTGTAATTGGAAGAAAAATAATGGAATGAAATTAAATACTCAGACATAAATCCAAACACATGTGGACACCTGATTTCTGATAAGGAAATTCAGAAATACAAAATGGAAAAAAAAGAACTTCAACAAATGGTGCCTGTTGAACTGAATTTCTGCATGTCAAAGAAGTCAAACAGATCCACACTCATCACCTCGTACAAAACTCAAGTCCAAGTGGGTCAAAGACCCCAACATACAACCACACATACTGAAATTGATACAAATAGCTAGACAAAGTTTGGAAAAGCCTTGAATACATTGGCACAGGCGAACAACTTCCTGAACAGAACACCAAGAATGTAGGCGCTAAGATCAATAATTAATAAATGGGACCTCATAAAAATGTAAAGCTTCTGTAAAGCAAAGGACAGTCAATCAGACAAAGAGGCAGCCTAAGGAATGCAGAAAGATGTTTCACAATTCCACATCCAATAGAGGCCACATATCTAAAATATGTAAGGAACTCAAAAAACTAGATGTTGAATGCTGTGGAATAATCCTTCTGTATACTCTCATTGGTTAGTAAAGCGCTGACTGCCTATAGCTGGCCAGGAAGAGATTGGGTAGGGGAACTAGACTAGGAGAATTCTGAGAAAAAGAAGGGTGCAGTCACA